CCAGGTGGGTCTCAAACCCACGGGCTCAGGCAATCCACTCACCTCAGCCTCCCAAAGTGCAGGATTACAGGCTGAGCCACCCAGCCTGAAATTTTTCAAAATAAAAATGAGTATCATAAGCAAGGGATAGGCAGTAGTGGGAAACTGCCAGCGGGGCGGTGGGGGGTGAGACTGGCAGTTGAGGGAAACTGCCAGGGGAGGGAGGGGCACACCTCATCAACAAAGGTACCTGCATAATGAACATTTGTATGCCTAACCCCACATCTTTAAAATTTAAAAAAAAAAGGAAAAAAATGAGTATCTTTAGCTCTCAGTTTCTTTCTACTTCCCTTTATATAGCACTTTGTTTTCTTCATTTAACCTGTTTAAAAATATCTTGGCATCTGATCAAAAGAAGAGAAATAAAGTCAGGAAGAAAAGTAAGAGTATGAAAATTCCCAAGTTTTAAGGTTTGGTTCCTAAGATTTTAATCTCCAAATTCTATTGTATGCATTATCAGCAACCCAATATTCCCATCCCTCCCCCAAAATATGCCTACACTTGAAAATTTGTTATTTCCTGCTGGAGCCATGTGTCCTCGTGACCACCCACTTCCAACATAGTCTTCATTGAAGGCACTGAAGGTTGAAGGGATGTTAGGATCAGGCTTGAATTTACAATGTTTTCTGTCTGCATCACCTGAAGAAAAACACACAAAATGGTTAAGCTATCAGTGGACAAACATCCCTCAAGAATCTCTAAGCAAGGCAAGCTGGTTGCTGCTGGCTAGTATCTTTCTAAGCAGCTAGCATAAGAGATGGCACACAAGTCTCAAGTTCCTGGGATAGTTCAGATACTTCATCTGAATTTAGAAAGTACTAGTCTAGGGAAGAATGCTTTTCACATGGCGTAACTATCTCATATAATTTTGACTCTGGCCTTTCTAGTTAAAGAAAAACTCTTCCAGATAGTATTTAAGTAAAAACAATGAACAATCAAATAGCTAAGTTGTAGAAAAAGCTTTGCTACTAAATAAACTCTTCTTTAAAAAAAAAAAAAAAAAAAACCTCATGTATTGTATTTTGCACAATTGTATTTTGACAAGTGTATGTGTACTGAAATAATGGATATATATAGACACAAAACAATTTGTTCTAGGCAGGGACAGCCTTGGGGAGGGGAGTGTCTCTGATAACTTGCTTACTGACTCTTACTGACAAGACAAAACAAACATTTAAGTTATGAGCTCCATTTGGAAATTTCCAAAACAGAGTATCTGAGTATCACACGACAGACGAGAAACCTCAATTTTTACATACTTCCTAATACCTCCAGAATGGTCTGCCACAGAGGACATCAGCAAATCCTAACACTATATATTCCACTGTCATTAGGTCAGACCTTGTTAAACTACAGAAATTATGAGGACAAACATACTCAGACTGCTACTCAAAGAAGTGCAAAATGGAAAAAAATGAAATAAGATTCCAATGTGATTTCATCCAGTCAAGAAAAATGTAAAGTTATCAGATCTCAAGGTTCACAGCAAAGTACTAAAAACCCAACTCTTCAGAATTACTTCATCAAGAAAAAGTAATCAGTAATACAGAAGAATCATCATTAGTAAACTTCTAAGTGTTATTACCATTCAAATAATTTCCTTATACATCTAGTTTTGCCTGGTGCTCACTGCTCATGAAAAATTATTTGCAAGAATTTCCAAAGGCCTAAGAAGATGTCTTCCTTGAGAAAAGATGTAAATTTACTTCTATCAGGAGTCCAGCAGTATTACCAGTAGAGAATGATATTAAACCAGGCTCAAACATTGAAGTTCCTTGATCTACACCCAATGGATTTGGGCTATAAGTCTGCATGACACCAGTTTGTGATTTCAGCCTCTCTGGAACAAGTTTTTTGTTTATTTTTTTAAAGACACAGGGTCTTGCTCTGTGGCCTAGGGTAGAGTACAATGGTGTGGTCATAACTCACTGCAGCCTCAAACTCCAGGGTTCAAGTAGCCAGGACTACAGGTACATGTCACCACACCTGGCTAATTATTTTATTTTATCATAGAGACAGGGTCTCCTTTGTTGCTCAAACTCCTAGCTTCAAGCAATCCTCCCACTCAGCCTCCTGAAGTGTTGGGATTACAGGCATAAGCCACCACACAAAGCTGGAACAGCGTTTTTTTTTCTTTAACCTTTGATCCTTCTCTGCAAAGTGCCCAGACAACCTTCCATGTAGTTCCCTACAGCAGACAGGCAGGTTAGTTCTGGTTCCCTCTACCCTGAGGGTAGAGTCCTGTGGAGCTCCAGGTCAGTATGAGGGGTTCTCCTATAAGACAATCTACCTTGGGGGAGCTGCAGGTCTTTTCCTCTCACCTCTAATGCTGTGAACTAAAGGCAAATGTGGTTGTGGTTTACGAGGCCTGCCCTTATCTCTCTGGATTCCCCCCAAACATTAGCCCAGCAATTCTCCACCATCCTGTTAGCTCTTCGTTTTTCTTAAGCTATTTTTCAAAAAATATGCTTTTTATCCAGACACAGTGGCACATAACAGCTACTCAGGAGGCTGAAGCAGGAGGACTGCTTGAGTCCAGGATTCGAGACTAGCCTGGACAAAAAACAGCAAAACTCTATCTCAAAACAAAGCTTTTAAAAAAATGTTTTTATATACTTTTTTTTTTTTTTTGAGTTGGAGTCTCACTCTGTCACCCAGACTTGAGTGCAGTGGCTGCTCCCCGCCTCCACAGCCTCGACCTGCTGGGCTCTGGCGATCCTTCCACCTCAGCCTTCCAAGTAGCTGGAACTACACAAAAAACAGCAAAACCCTATCTCAAAACAAAGTTTTAAAAAAATGTTTTTTATATACTTTTTTTTTTTTTTTTTTTTTGAGTTGGAGTCTCACTCTGTCGCCCAGACTGGAGTACAGTGGCCACTCCCGGCCACCACAGCCTCGACCTGCTGGGCTCCAGAGATCCTTCCGCCTCAGCCTTCCAAGTAGCCAGAATTACAGGCATGTGCTACCATGCCCGGCTGATTTTTTGATTTATTGTAGAGATGAGGTCTCGCTGCCCAGGCGGGTCTCGAACCCACGGGCTCAGGCAATCCACTCACCTCAGCCTCCCAAAGGCGCGGGATTACAGGCTGAGCCACCGAGCCTGGCTTACTTTTTTTTTTTTTTTTTTTTTTTGAGTTGGAGTCTCACTCTGTCACCCAGACTTGAGTACAGTGGCTGCTCCTGGCCTCGGCAGCCACGGCCTGCTGGGCTCCGGCGATCCTTCCGCCTCAGCCTTCCAAGTAGCTAGAACTACAGGCACACACTACCATGCCCGACTAGTTTTTGATTTATTGTAGAGATGAGGTCTCGCCAAGTTGCCCAGGTGGGTCTCAAATCCACAGGCTCAGGCAATCCACTCACCTCAGTCTCCCAAGGCGCAGGATTACAGGTTGAGCCACCGAGCCCGGCTATACTTTTTTATGTACTACTAGTAACATTTGTTTTCAGCAGGAGAATTTGTCAGAATAACTTAGTCTGTCATTAGGGAAAATAGAAGACCCTTTACACTAAAATCAAGTAAAACACAGGCATACTGCTTTCCTATTTTCAAATAATATTAATTGGCTCTATTTTATCACCTCAAAATTAAAGAGTTCACCGGATTTACAATATGAAATGCACTGCTTTTATTATATGTTTCTGAAAATAACTTGGTAACAGGATAAAATTAGTAAAGTTGAAATTCCTTGAATCTTTTGTATTAAAACATTTCACTAGGCTTGAGACTAAATCAAATGAGCTTCTCTTGATGTAAATTTATCATCAGAGCCAGGTGCAGTAACATGCGCCTATAGTCCTGGCCACTAGGGAGGCTGAGGCAGACCGACTGCTTAAGCCCAGGAGTCGGAGGTAACAGTGTGCTATGATCACGCTTGTGAACAGTCACTGCACTCCAGTTTGGGTAACATAGCAAGACCCTGCCTCTATTAAAATACATACATATATAATCAACTTTCAACTGCTATAATAAAGTTTTTGGCTACATCAGTTTCTCTCTAACAATAAGTATATTCCAAGCTTCCTGCTATTCTGCTGGTTGTTGTGCACTCTAAAATGGCACGCACTCATTTTGATATCAGCATCTTAACATTCATAGACACAGAACACACTTCAAAGCAAAGGAGAAGTAACATGTGGAGCACATAGCAAATTAAAAGACAAATCTCCACACAGGGAATAAAACAACCATGACAAAAGGCAATACCCTTAACACATAAAAGAGCTCCCACAAATAAATTCAAAAAATACCCCAACTAAAAATGGAACTGAAAATGGGTATAGAATAATTTATAAAGAAAGCATAGTTCACAAAATGTTAATCTTCACTTATAAACAATAAACACAAGTAAAATAAGCTACTAAATTGGTAAAGCTCAATAATGCTCACCATGGGTGAGGACTGAGAGACAGAACAAATAGTGATGGTAGCAGTGTAACTGGAACAATCTACCTAAAACCAATTTGACATTAACTGCCAGGATCCGGTAATCTTACAGGAATCTACATAGACGTAAGAACACATGAACACATCTACACACCTGCCTGCCTCTCCAGCCTCGTTTCATACCACGTTCTCCCTCATTCCAGTCACTCTGGCCTTCTTTTAGTTCCCTAAAAGAAAACTCTTCTCTACATTGGGGCCTACAAAGATGCAACTGTGCTTCTTCCTGCCTAAAATGTTCTTCACCATATCCCTCAACCCACTCAACGCCTCTGCCTAAGTAACTTCCATTCACTCTTCATTCCACTTTTTCAGGGAAGACTCATTAATCAAAACTAAGTTCTCTTCCTGTAATCTCTCATCACACTCTTTACTCCTCCTTAATTACACTATCCTAACCTGCAATCACTTCCTTCAAAATTATCAATTATAATTACACATTCAGATTTGTTTGACAGGTCAACCTACTGTCCCAGCTGAAGCGTCATGTGGGTAGAGACTACTCTGATCACTGCTATATCCTCAAGGTCTAGCACAGTGTCAGACATATAGCAGGCACTTAAAAAGTATGTGCTGAGGTAGAAAACCAAATGGTGCTCATTGTAGCAATATTTATGACAGTGCCTCCCAATTCATGTGTCAAGGTATGGATCCCTTTAGCCCCTGAAACAGGTGGGCTCCCTGGCTACCAGGCAGAGTCAATTTAACCAGTGAGCCATGCAAACACAATTTTCTACAAGTGCTGTGATGTGAAGGTTGAGAATGTTATCAATAATCCTCCCTGTTTCAAACTTGGAAACATCTTTCATCAATACCATTATATCATCTTTTTTCCAACCACCTACCCATTATCTTGCTTTTGGAAATATGTTCAAGAACCCATCTAGGCACCCGCTTTGTCTGATCATAAGACAAAGCATGATTAGTGTAACACCTTGTCTCTGTTCCACTTAAAGGGAATCCAAATTGTCCCAAGAGATCCTTTTCTGCAGATCCTAAAAATGAAAGTGGGGGGGGGCAAAAAAATAATTAGTGACATATTTAAAAAGGAAGTTTATAAGAAGGATGAGATTTACAAAGGACTGACTCAAAAGTCTAATTAACCAGGAGATCTCACTTTTGCAATTACTTATAAGACAAAGAAAACAGACAGTAGGCAAAATAATGATTTTGTGTATAATCAGATGTATAGGTACAGCAAGATAAACTGCAGCTATTACATTAACTTTTAAATCTTATTGGTCTTTCGCATCAAATTTCCAAATCATTTCTGAAGTACTGAGATGCGCGCTGTAGCAAGATAGCAGTAAAACTGATTTCAAGATAATCCTCTCTTGATATCTTCTCAAATCCTCAACCTATAAGAGTAGTTCTCTTCCTGGATGCCAAGTACCAAAAGGAATACGTTAAATTAGCATGCAGGGGAAAGTGCCAGAAATGAGCATATGTTCTTTGTGCGGCTTTTGGGGGGGCGAGGGAGTCAAATATAAGGTATCCCTTGCAACATGAGGTTTTTATATTACTTTGAAGGGGCAGCAGATATTCTTCAACTGAACAGTGACAAACAAAAAAAGAGTTAACGGATGTGCTAAAACTGTGTGTGAGCTTATCCCTTCATCCATACTTATCGAATGCCAATTACGTGCCAGGCACTGTGCTGGTTGCACGGCGGAGAGCAAAACTGACAGTCCCAAGTCTTAGGCGCTGGCAATCTTAGTAGAGGACACAGACCTCGAAACGTACATAGCGCGATGAATAATTTGGGGGAAAGACAGGGGACGGCCGGTGGAGAAAACGAAGATGCCCGGGGGGAGGAAGGACAAGGCAGGCAGGCGAGACGCGAGGCGGGAAGGCCGGAAGCCAAGGGCCGGGCTCGGGCCCCGCAGAGGGTGAAGCTTCGAGTCAAGGCTTGCGATTCACGCCCCAGGTAGGAGTCCCGGCCCCAGACGTGATGGGAGGGTGACGGGAAGAGAAGGAGGGCGGGCCCGCAGACTTACTGTGAGGCTCCCTCACTGCCAACGCTGCCTCAGCGCCCTGACTCCGGAAAATCTGCAGGGCCGTGAGCCCCGCTCCCGCGGCGCCCACCATTGCCCCCGCCACGAAGCCATTCAGAAAATGCCGAGAGCCTCTAAGGCGGGATGCGAAGTTCTTGGCAGCCATCTTACTCGGGGTACCCGGCTTTCACCGCGGCGCATGCGCACGCCGGGTCTGAAGCCTGAAAGCCAATCGCAACCGCGGGACCAAGACACGCATGCGCGAGCTGGAGTCGCCTGGTACTGAGCCTCCCAGGAGGTCCGAGACCCTGAGCGCAGGCACGCTCTCCCCGCTGGGGGCCTCGCGCGCCCCCTGATGGCATACATGGAAGCCCAGGTGCATCACCCCTCTAATCCCACTGGTCCACTGGTTGATGGATACAGGTGTTAGGGATGGGAGTGTGATGGATAGGAGTTGACGTCTTGAGGGCTTGGTGGTGTGCCTGTATATTCAGTCTCGAGAAGAAAATGACTTTAGTTTCACTTAATAAGTGACTAAACACTTACACATGGTTACACAAAGGTCCCCAGAGCCAAGATTCCAACTCAGGTCTGATTCCAAAACCTGTGCCACACTGGATGTCGTCATGGCACCTGGTTTCGAAGTCACTTAGTATACAAATCATAACTTCAAAAAACAATGTTGTACCGCCTAGAGTTTCTTGACAAGACAGTACTCCATGGTGGCTCAGGACCCTGCATCAGATTGCAGTAATTTGAATCCCTACTCAACTGTTTTCCACCTTCACCTTTTTAGATTTGTTTCCTTTAAGTGGGAATGATACTAATACTTAGACAATATGGTTCCTGTGAGGATTAAAGGAAATGACACATGTAAAGCACTTAAGGAAGCACCTGGTGTTAGGGTACGGATAGGGTGAGGGTGGACAGGTGAAGAGGAGAGAGGAGAGGCACAGGGAGGTGCAGGGAGGCGAGGGGAGATGCAGCACTGCTAGCAAGCTGGAGGTGCTGTGCTGGCAACCCAGAGATCCGAGTAAATGCAAAGAATTGCAACACACAAAGAGGTGAGAGAAAATAAGATTTATTTAAGAAAGCTTCACCCCCCACAGACAGGGAATGGGCCTACACTCTAGGTGAGTGTGGCCTCATAGCCCCCCAAAGACTGGCTTAAATCCTTTTCCTTAGAGATGTTGCAGTCAGGTAGACGTGACTGCTGTGACTTCTGTATCGACCACCTGTGGATGTCTTGAAGAACCTGTGACACAGAGACCCACTAATGTCCGCCCACATTATCATAGCCCCTAGAGAAGGGCATGACAAGGATCGTAATGCTCCTGCACCTTCCCAAATGACATTCCTTAGAGCTAATGGAGGGTGCACTTCCCCTTATCTCCTAGGCATTCCCAGTGGGTAGCTTTGGGGGTTCCTTGACTTCTCTGTCCCAATTTACTGGAAGATTGAATCTCCACCTGCTCTCCCTTCAAGTGGTCATAACTTTTGTAATTACAAGTTTCATGACTTTTACATTCCTTGCCCAATGCATGATGTCTTAGGCCTTGTAAATTCCCTTTACTCTAGGCAAGCTTGATTGCCACTACGAGATACCTCTAATACCTGGCACCAGGAAGTCTGTTTTCGAAAAGACAAAGTTGGCAAAGTTAATTTTACCTAAAGTGTGCATTTCTCCAAAAACATAGCTTCTACTTTCTCATTGTTAGAGTTTAAGAACAAGATGAAAATGGCTTCCCACTCTCAGTCTGTCCTTGCACCTGGGGCATGTCATTAAGTGTTTAGTAATGTTTATTGAGTCATCTCTACTTTTTTTTGTCTTGATAGAATATAAAATTCAGATTGCTAAATGCCTATTAACAAAAGGATACATTTAACAGACTACTACTCACAAATAAGTCTTTATTTTGTAGCATAGGTTCCAGCATTCCAAGTGCATTTAGTTCTTTGCAGAACCTTCAACTTTCTCGTTCCTTCGTCACCTGATAGGAATACCTTTCATCTTATTCTAATGATGTTCACTCAGCACAAGGCCATTGTTAACAACCAACTTAAATGTAGACATTGTCTTGACAGCCTCAAATAGGAGGCACTCCCTCCCCAGGATAACTTCTTATGAAGTCATGTTGTATCATCCCCTAAGTCTTTGACTCTGATCAACCAAAATCCTTTTTAGGAATCCTGGATCCGGTACTCTCCTTAGGTAGCAAAGCTGTAACATATGAAACTCTGGCACTGTCTACAGGCTTAATTCCTGCTAAGTAGTCAAAGGAGCAGATGCATCTGGTCTTGCACTGGGCAACAATGGAAAGAATGCTGGGACACAAGAGGAGAAGTCATGCAGTACTCTGGGCTCCCAAGTCTCCTGGAGCTCACGTGCCTTTCCCAAGACTTGACTGGCTGTTTCCCCAGGATCCTTCGAAATTCCTCTTTTTGTCTAATGGTTTTTGTCACTTGGAACCAAGAGTCCTGACAAATACAACCAGGTAGCACTGGTATCCATAGGCTACAAGGCTGCAGCAGCCTTCACTAGATTTACTAAGTCACTTAAGAAGTATTTCTCAGGGCCCTCATAAGTGTCAGACACTATGCTAAATACCAAAGAGATAAATGGTAGATGACTTTTCATAATCCAGATCCGTTACTACTCAACAGTGAATCCCGTGCTTTGCCCCAAAAAGTCAAGAATTGTAAGTGCTGCCTGGCTTTAGATAGGAAAACTCCCTCCCTAGAGAAGGGCATGACACTGGTCCACTGTTTGCCCACCTGTAAAATGAAGGGAGTGGACCAGTGTTTTTTAAACTGTAATTAGGGTTCCTAGGAGTTCCATAGGGGTGCTTGAGACTTGAGGGAAGAGATGGGAGAGCAAGTTGAATGGCCCCCGAGCCCTCTCCTACTTGCTCACTCAGAGAAACTTGCTTTTTTATAAACCAGCTTCTGTGTCAAACCTCTTTTGGTGAATTTCTTTGCTAAAGGGAAAGTTTGACCAGATGACCCCTAAGGTCCAAGCTCTCCACTTGTCCGGCTCCACGATCTTCTATGAGAACTGTCAGCTGCCAGGAGCAGAGGCTCATTCCTATAATCCCAAAACATTGGGAGGCCAAGGTAGGCAGATTGCTTGAGCCCAGGAGTTCCAGACCAGCCTGAGCAACATGTGAGATAAAATCAGGAATTCCAAAAGCTAGAACCTCAATTGCTGATTCAGGTTGGGCGTAGGGCCCCATGACCTTTTTTAATAGCTCAGTCAATGACCCTAGTACTCAGCCCAGTCTGGGAACAGCAGAGCTTGTATTCTGCAGCAGTCCTGAACACAACTTATTTTCAAGGCTTCTCTTATCCATTTAAAAAAATATCACTCATGGTTGTTACAAAAGTATGGATAGGACTGGTTTAAGTGGGAGGTGAGGGGAGATAATCCTGGAGATTTGTAAAATACACCTCTGTCATGCAGGAACTTACCCAAAGTCCAAGAAAAGTCCATCCAGGAGAAATCTGTAATGTACTCAACTAGGCCCTGGACTTCTGAGTGGCAGAAATGGAGACCTGTGCTTAGGTCCCACAGGGCCATGGTAGACCAAGCATTCAGCCATTAACATCTGTATGTGTTCCGAGTAGAAATGACTTGAGTCAGCCCTACAAGCAGGGAAATGCCACTGTATTTATCTCTAATTCCCATGAAAAGAAACTTCAATCCCCTGCCATGTGATCACAAGAGACAACAAGATTGTTTTATTATTATTTTATTTTATTTTCATATACAAAAAGATAAAACTTGAAATAGTTCTAGATTTTTCCTCCTATTGTTGGGGTGTGGCTGCTTCTTCACACAGGGGGGAAAAAACTACATTCACATCGGTTTATTTGAGGACCCAGTGCAGAGTTCAAGCAGCAAAACCCCAACTTAGCAGATCTAATTTCAAACTTGACACTCATTTCTAAAATTACCACAGTAAAAAGGAACAAAGATCCACTGCAAATGAATGAACTATGATACAATGTTCTTTCCAAAATGTTTTCATTTTGCAACTGTAATTACATGGATGTCTGCTTTAGGCCATTTTAGAGGGGGTATGTGTGTGTGTGTGTGTGTGTGTGTGTAATATATATATAAATCAGCACACTTTTCAAATCCAGACAGGTTAACAGCAACAAGCTTAACTCTGTATATATATATTTTTTTTTTAAAACATGATACTTTAGTATAACTTTTGTTAATTCAGTAGTACAAGCTATTTCTGTTCTACAAAATTTTTATTTTATAGCTACAAGGGTGAAGAGTGACTTACTACATTTACATCTCACATATCCTGGTATACAAACAGTACTTACTGAATTTGAGCCAAAAACTAGAAATCTTTAGTTTTAGCACTTGAAAGAGCTTCCTTGCTTCTACAGCCTTAAATCATATACTAGTCACATTTCCAGAGTTGCAATTACTCATCATTTTAAACTGTGAGAAACAGGTGAACCCAAACTTTTAATTACAATTTTTATATACAAGTTAGTTAACACAGCTCAATAAGACTTAGCTACCCATCCTAAGCCCAACACACACATTCTCCACTAAGTTAGACAAATCTTAGGGTTTTCCTTCTTTTCCTTACAAATAATGTACACATTTAGAAGTAGCTGGTAAAACTGATACGTAAGATGGCAAACGAAAGATGACATTTTTTGTTGGTTCCAAAACTGTTCCTGCAAATTTTGTACTCTGCTGTGTTCTTTAACTGTATGTCTGTTACATGCAGAAAGCTCTTCTCACAAGAATTGACATCAAACTCGATGTAAGTTAAATTTACAGTACTGTATAAAGTTACTCAGATTCAAGGACAAATGTGGAAAAATATTAACAGGTGAAAATTTGGCCTTTGACACTTCCATTTAAGATCATGTCAAATTCATAAGCAGATTCTTCTGTACAGTTGAAAAATGGCATTGTTGTGGATTTGTGGCATGGAACTGAAATCTAGAAATATGTTCTAATCTGCGGTAACCCTCTCCCTCAATTCTCAAGTACCACTCAATTTTCTTTGCATTTTTACAGAATTCCATTTAAAAAATGAGAAAAAAAAGCCGCTGGCATTTGAACAATTTCTTCCCTCACTGGCAGTCTTAACACTTTTGATGAGGTCTCCTGAAGAATCTCTAATGACCACTTGCTCCCAGACGGCCTTTCATGATGACTTGGACACTTTTCAAA